AAAAAAAAAAGGAAAAGAAAAGAAAGGAAAGAAAAAAATGCATGTTACCCTGTTTCTGTCTTTGTTTCTGAATTTTGTTCTTGCTTTGTTTTTACTCTTCAAAATAAAAGTTATAATAAAAAAATTAGAAGAACAGTCATTTGGGTTGAAAATTCAAAGTGTTGGAGTATAACTCCCTGTAAGGGCCTCAGTTCATCCCCAGAGCTACCTATGTGCCAACAGTAAGATCCCCAACAGGCCAGAAGTATGCACGAGAGAGAATCAAAATCATATGCTACAAAAAACACTTAAATATAAAAAAAAAAGCAATACTGGAAAACTCAAAGGGAAAGGCATGTGAGACGTTCAGAAACCAGCGAGCCAGAGAAATGCCTCCTTATCAGTCATTATTTTAAACATACATGGTTTAGACTTTCCAGATTAAAAGAGCTTTACAGAACAGATTTTTTAAATATGGTTCAAAAATAATATACTATATACAGAAGATTCACTTTAGCTACATGAAGAAGTTGAAAGTTTAAGGATGGAAAAGGATATTTATCCAAATAGTAACAAACAGAGGCTGGTCATATGTCCAGAGAAAATGGGTTGAGCTACAATTACAAAAAGTTACAGGAGATGAAGGTTCGAGGAAGCTACGTAAGCTACATAAATTACATACGTTTTTGTACCCAATATCAGAGTCCCAAAATAGAAAGCAAACACTGACAAAACTAGCTCTGTAACAGTAGCTGGAAGTTTCAATGTTCTGCTTTCAATAATGAGGAGGAAAAAAAAACAGGAAGAAAGTGATCACTATAAACCAATTAGATACAAGAATCATGTAAGTACTTCATCTAACAACATTCTTCTCCAAATGAGAAGTTCTCCAGCGTACATGAAACATTTTCCAGAATATACTATGTTATGCCACAAAACATATCTTAATTTTAAAAAACAAATCATACAATCTGTTCCTACCACAATAGAATGAAATCAGAAGTTAGTAAGAGAAGGAAAAGGAAAATTCACAAAAATGTGAAAATTAAGGAGCACACAGATCACAGCAGATACTGGAAAATACCTTATGACAAATGAAAATAAAAACAATGTATCTACATTTATGGGGTATGTTGAAAACATAGCTGAGAGAATTACAGCTTCAAAAGTCTACGTTGAAAGAAAAAAACCTCAAATCAATAACTTAATGATTTATCTAAAGGGACAGAGTACACCAGCCCTGCCCTGGGGCACAATAAGCCAGCATGGAGACCAGGCTTGCGGGTGCACACCTGTAATCCCAGCACCGAGGAGGCTGAAAGCAGGAGGATCACTACGAGTCTGAGCTGTGTAACTAGACCTTGTGTCAAATACCTAAGAAAATAAACTTTAAAAAAAAAAACAAAAACCAAAAAAAACCCCAGAGAAACAGGAAAAAAAATTAAATCCAAAGCTAGGAGGACAAAGAAACATCAGAGTGCTAACAAAAAGTTACCAAAATAAAAAGCTTATTCTTTTATTAGACTAACAAAATTGGTAAAACTAAACAAGACTGATGGGGCGGGGCCTTGGAATTTTTGCTCGTTTTTGTTTTGAGACAAGGTCTTGCTGTGTAGTTCAGTCAGGACTTGACTGCACTATGTAGCTCAGGATGGCCTCGAACTCACGGCAGTCATCCTGTCTCAGCCTCCTGAGTGCTGGGATTACAGGCAGGAGCCACCATGCCCAGCCAAGACTTGGATTCTTAAAATCAGAAAATGAAAGTGAAGGGCTGGCGAGATAGCTCAGCGGACTAAGCGCTTGCTTAGGCAAACACAGGGACCAGGGTTCAATCCCCAGCACCACATGCTGTGCTGGCCCTGCCCCCAGGTGAGCTGAGCAGGCCATGAGTTCAGGTGTGGTTAGCACAGATAATCCCAGCACTGGGGAGGCTGAAAACAGGAGGATCACTACGAGTCCGAGCTGCATAGTGAGACCCTGTACCAAATACATTAAAAAAAAAAAAAAGTGAAAATGTTATTACTGAATATACAGAAATAAAAAGAATTACAACACAATACTATGAACAACTGTATGACAAACTGAATAAAACCAATGTAATGCGTAAATTCCAAGAAACACATCAACTACCAAAACTGACCCGAGGGCAAATAATAATCTGAATAAAACTACAACAAGTAAGGTGACTACATCATAATAAGAACCTGTTAATGAATAGCAACCGAGGACTGGATGACCTCACTGGCAAATCCTAATACATCTTTAAAAAAAGAATCAATGTCAATCCTCAAACTATTCTAAAAACCTGAAATGAAAAGAACATTTCCCTTGCTTACTCCATGATACCAACAGTACCCTATACCTAAGCTAGATGAAGAAACTACAAGAAAAGAACACTTAAGTAGATAATATCTCAACTATTGTTAATTAGCTATTCCTGTTTTGAAAATCTGTAACATACGCATTGTTGTATATTACCCTGTTTCTGTCTTTTTTCTATTTGTTTTTGCTTCTGTTTCACTCTTCAAAATAAAATAAAATAAAATGTAAAAAAACAAAAAAAAAGAACACTTACAGGGCAAGCCCCTTTAATAATATAGGTAAACATCTTCAATAAAATATTAATGAACTGAAACTAGCGGTATGTTAGAAGAATTACAGATTGGGCATTCCTAATCTAAAAATCCAAAAGGTCTTGAAATCTGAAACTTTGAATGATAATGCTCAAAAATGTCTGGATTTTGGAGAATTTCAGATTTTAAATTTCTGGAACAGGAATGTTCAACTAGTAAAGTCTATACAAACATTGCAAAACTCAGAATTCTAAAGCATCTCTATTCCAAGTGTTTCAGTAAAAAGCCCAATCATACATAACAAGGCCAAAAGGGATTCTCCCTGGGATGTTCAGCTGTGGTTCACAGGAATACCACCTCTTAGCAGTGGAAGGAAACAGTGGGGTGACCATCCCACCTGATGGAGAAAAGGCTTGTTTTCTGTTTTGCAGAAGAAAAAAACAAAACAAAAAAACCTACTCAATTGTCTCAGTTACTCTTCTCTCATTGCTGGGACAAATATCTGACACTCAAAACAAAGGAAGGAAAGGTCTATTTAGCTCACACTTATTGGAGGCTTTAGTTCATACTCAGCTGGCTCCAAGGCAGAGCGGCACATGTCAGGGAGCAACATGGTATTGGCAAAGAGCAGAGAGCAAACAGCAAACAGAGTGGAAGCAGCCCAGGCAATGAGCTGGCCTCTCTGCCCTCCTTAGCCTGTATTACAAATTACCTGCCCCAGGGCAGGTGCAACATTCCCACACCCACAATAATCGATCATAAACTCCAGGAGCCGCCCCAGGACTGCATGAGGCTTTGGGGGGACACCTAGACATAAGCCATAGCAGCAATCCTGATGGAATTTGAAAAGACCCTTAAAAGGCAAAATAATCCTGACAAAGAACAAGTTGAAGAATGCACACTTTCTGATTTAAAACTCACTAAAAAGTTACAGTAATCAAAACACTGGGGTCCTGTCTACATGGATCGACCTACAGACAGACTAATGGAATAAAGCTGGGAGCCCAGAAATAAACCCTCAATGAATCTTTGACAAGATCAGTCAGTAGAAAAAGGGCAGTCTTTCTGACAATGGTGCTGGAGGGGGGGGGGGATGGATATTAGAATACAAAAGAATAAAGTTGGACCCTTATCCCACATACATTTATTAATGCAAAGTGGGTTCATGCCCTAAGTCTAGGGCTAGAACTGTAAAATCCTTGCAAGAAAATATAGGTGCAAATACTTTGAACCTTAGAGACTTGCCAATAGTTTTTTTTGATATAACAGCAAAAGCACAGACAGCAAAATTAAAAAAATTTAGACTTTTAAAATTAAAAATTTATGGGCCAGTCAAATAGCTAAGCAGATTAAAGCACCTACAAGCAGGTACGGGGGTGGGGGTTTGATCCCCAGCTTGCAGTGCCAGCCCCACCCCTGGGGGCACGCAGAGACAGTGACTGAGACTGGGCACGCTGGCGTGTGCCTGTAATCCCAGCACTTGGGAGGCTATAAACAGAAGAATCACTACAAGTCCGATTTAGTAGGGAGACCCTGAAGACCCTGTAGATCCTTCCCTAAAATACAAAAATACATAAATAAATAAAAAATAAAAAAAATGTATATACATCAAAAGAATACTTTCACAAAAGTGAAAAGCAATGCACTGGATGAGAGGGAGTAACTGCAAAAGGCACGCCTTATAAAGGCGTAACACACAGAAGTCATAGTAAACTCTTAAAATGCAAGAAGAGAAAGACAAGTCTATTTTTAAAATGAGCAAAGTATTTGTTCAATGCAAATAAACAAAATGAAAAACAAAAATGAAACATAACAAAGGATGTGCATCACTAATCATTAGTAGATATAAATCAAAACTACAAGGGCTAGGGATTTAGCCTGGTGGCACAAGGGCCTGTTTCGCAAGCGCAAGGTCCTGAGTTCAATTTCCAGTACAGGAAAAAAGATAAAATAAAAACTACAATGAAATAGCATTTTACATTTATTACAATGAATAACAGAAAGGGATAACAAGTACTGGTGAAGAAGAAAAGAAATTAGAACCCTTGTACGTTACTACTGGGAATGTAAAATAAACGTGGCTATTTTGGAAAACAGTGTGGCAGTCCCCCAAATGTTAAAGACAGAACTATGTTTGACCCACAATTCCGCTTCTGACCGTTCAGACATATACAAGGGGTGATAAATCATTCTGGAAAGTGAAATGGTAACTGAACAGCTTTGTGACTATACTCAATGCCACTCAATTGTACATCTATAAATAATGAAAATATTGCCATTTTCATACCATAAAAGAGGAAAACCCATTAACTATCCTGATCCCAAAGACAGATTACTGTAACTTAATAATTTTATCTGAGAGAGCAGCAGAGGACAGTTTAGTGACACCTTCAATGCAGGCTGCTACCACCATCAAGGAAACAAAAGACGTAGCCTCCCTTACATTTAAGCACTCTGTCAATTTAAAAGGATTCGTAAGGGTTCAAGATTCAAAAATCTCTGAGTTTCAATTCTCTGCACTGCAACACAAAATCTGAGTGCTGCTCAGCTTATCAACACACAGAAGCAAAACCAACCCCACAAACACTTGTTCACTTGCCAAATTCCTTAACAAAATAAGGAAGCACCCCTACAACTTCCTGGGGAGAATTCTGTGTCCCATCGGATATGCACTGTGTCCCCTAACATATGTAAGAAACAAATCTATGGATAAGCTATCGGTCAAATTTCGTAGCAAATGAAATCTGTATCCACAGAATAATGAATGTGATACATGTGAGAGTAGTTTATAAAATGACAGCAGAGAGGCTGAGGATATTTCAGTGGTAGAGTTCATGCCTTGAAGCGTAAGACTGTGGGTTTGTCCCCAGCAGTAAAGTAGGCAGAGAAGTTACTGAACAAATGGTCGCACAGCTCTAAGGCGGCGGCGCCGCTTCCGGTGCAGCAGACTGCACCATCTCACAGAAGAGCCCGAATCCCTCTGCACACTGCTTCCCCGGAAAGAATCAGGACTCAACGAAACCACTTGTATACAACATGGAGATTCTGTTATTATAAATTTCAAAACAAAAAACGGATGAATTTCCACATAATATTTATAACCTTCAAAGTACAATATTAATACATGTCTGTCAGTTAGAAATAACAGCAGTTTGTTAGGCTACAGGGTTTAACATAAAACCAATTTACAAATGTGAAAAGCAGTAGTGGTCCGATATTCACCATCACACATGAATCTGTTTCTTTCAGGAATATTTTTTTAAAATTAAAATTTCAGTATCATGAAAAATTAAAATAATATCCCAAACATGCCACAATCACTATTCACAAAATAAAGTTAAAATGAAATATACAAAAATCCATTTAATACTGTTAAATAACAATAAACTACAAGATTTCCTGAACAGAAATGGTAGGACCCCTGAATGTTTTACAGTGAATGTCAGGAAAAAAATTAAGTTATGACTATTCTCATGATATATAAGGCAAAAATTTACATGACCATTTCAAAACATACCAATTAAGATTTCTAGTTTGTAAGATGCACTAAAAATAGTTCTAAAAGGAGAACAGAAATGCATAAAGCACTGCTACCAACACCGCCCTGTGTCTGTGATGCTCAAGGAGATGCATAATTAAAACTGTAATATTTATTATGTCTGATAAAGATAATTCCTACAATGCCTGAAAGCAATCCTCGAAGTTCTCATTTCTCTCGTATGAAATTTGTCATGGCTCATTTCAAGGACATATTACAGCTTTATGCTGATCCCAAGTGAATGTTTTGAAACATACACAGCCCCCAAATGAAATAAACTGTGTCCGTATGAAGTATCATCCTTTCTAGTAAAAGAAATCTATTTAAACACAAGCAAGACTCTCATGTTTAAATGAACTTATATGGCTAAGTATTAACTAAATGAAAGCACAATGTAAAATAGTTAAAGTCTATTAGTATACAAATATCCAGTAATATGCAGCAGACATTTCTAAAATGAGGAATAGATAACAATAAATAATCTTGGTGCTTTAATTTATTGGTGTCTAACGTGAGAAACCCAAAATGTCAGGTATTCACTTGCTTGAATCAACTTCTGCATCAACATGCTTTCCTAAACAATGTGGTTATCAACTGCTAGCTACTCTATCTGCCAATGTTCAATAAGAAATCATGTCACACAAACTTAAGAGTGTTCAAGATGGCTCACTTAATTTTACTGTGAAGCAAAGCTAAATATATATCCCAGGAAACACTGCAGTTTAATTTTAAAAACAAACAAAAATGCAGCAGTAAAACGATCCATGAGGAGAAACAGATGCATTCACATATAATGAAGCCACTGCAACTTCTTCAGGCATTCAACTGTTGTGTTAAATAAACAGACAGTAGTTATTTAGCAGCAATGATTCCGCAATAAATAATGCACTGTGTTTCTCAGTCCTGCACAAAAACTGCAGCTACAGTTACATCAATAGTTGTAACCTCCTGGCTCTACTGGCAGAGAAGACCTTAAAACCGACTGTACAAAAAATTGTCACACTGTGACAACAAATATAAAAACAATCTGCAGGTCTGAAATAAAAAGACTCCACTGTGAAGAGGACAGTGCAGACAAACGGAGATTCCAAGTCCACCAAAAGAAATAACTGCCTTCAGATCTGAGTCCTTGATTGACAAGAAAGGCTGGGGGCTGGGCTTGAAACCATGTTATCAGACTTAAAAGAGCATGCTCTGTCTTCTGTTCTTCCCATGTCCTAAAATATAAAGTCATTTTATGAGGCAGTTCAAGGTTCAGCTTTATCCTACATACAGTATGTGGTGACTAGGAAGCTAACGTTCCCACCAGCAAAAGCTAACATTCCACGGTAAGACTGAGCAGCACTGTCTTAAATGGCCCTTTTGTCGACGGGCTCAGTCTACAGCTTCTAGGCTTCGAGGTGATGAACCTGGTGACTAGGGAAGCACAAGATGTGTCTTCTGCCTCAGGTGCCAGGGATGGCGTGTGCAGTGATCAAGCCAGGCCACGTGTAAAAGGTCTCTGTGCCATCTGCAGCTTTCAGGATCCCTGGCTTGACTGAGTCAGATTTCTCTCTGAAGGCTTACTGAGCTGCCACGTCACACAGAAAAGTGAGCATGTGCGATGCTAAACATACACAGCTGTGGAATGCGCTGTACACTGGTTTTTACATAAACAGTTTTACTGATCAACTTACAAACCAAAAGCTCGGCTCCACACAAAAATTCATGATCGACACGTGAAATGGTTTATGACAAACACACCTGTCTCTGGATAAGAAGAATTTCGAAAACCCGGGTCCTTTTGCAACTGAATCTCTTTCAAAGTGAATATCGATACACCTAAAATGCAGACAGAAATGATCAGGTGAAAGAGAACATTATTAAAAACAAATACAACCCAGCCCAACTATATAGAGAAGTACTTAGTATATACTGATTAAACATAAAACACAAGGTTATATCCCTGCTGGAAGATCTCCCTTTTTATGTGTTTTGGACAGAAAACCAAATGAAGTAATCCCCCTTCAGAAACTTTCTTCTGCCAATTCTGGTTTAAAGCATGGTGCAAATGGGTGTTTCTCCAACAAAAATATACACTGCCTATTCCAGGACTTCCAGGAGTCAGGAGACCTAATCAAAATCTATCAGTAAGTTCTACTTCTCTTTCTTCTTTGTCACCTTAGGATGGTATTAAGGCATTTGAGATGAACACGAGGTCTCTACAACCACAACTGCCTACCTCAAATTCAAACTTGGACAAATACGAGTTTTAATAACGTCTTTTAGAAAAACCACTCCGAATTGGCCTCTTATTTCCTAATCTGTGTTAGATGGCAGTCTTTTACTAACTAACAAGCATCCAGGAAGTTCTAAGGGGCAAGTCTTAAGGAGTCCGGATTCCAGGAAGCTCTGCCACTGAATGCTACATAAGCTTCAACGAGCTAGCTCTGTCTAATAAATGAGAATGGGAGCACTTCACAGCTCAGTTCCCAAGCACTCTAATTTCTCATTCACCTTATTCCATTTTCAAGTAAAATACAGGGCTAATTTAAAAAACAAAAAACACCATGAGCAAAATTAAAGAATTTTCTTCAGGCATGGCAAATCCATTTTAGTGATTCTGATATGCTCAGCCCTGAGGATAGTAAACTCATTGACCACAAGAAAGGAAAATCATTTCTACACAGTAAAAAGAAACGCACTTCTTCACAAGAAAACCATCTTATGTTTCTACTGTGCTTCATTCATCCTTACAGAATTCCACTTTTAACAATTCAACTGAAACTAGATTAGGCCTAAGGATGCCATCGTTAGATTGCTTGTTCCAACTCTGGTCTCATAGGATTAATAACCCATACTTGACTATTATGGATTTCTCATAGAGCAGGGGCAATGTGCTCAGAATTGCAGGAAATAAAACAAAGACAAGACACATGCCAAGAAATTCTGATATAATTACAAAAGACTAAAAGATCAACAGTCACCTCTTTCTAAATCTCTAATGTACCTCAGTACCCAACGCTGGACAAATGAAAATACAGGGAGAAAAATATTTTAGAATTTGTCTTACTTTCTGGTAAAGCATGTATTCTTGGTCCCAGACTTCGAAAGTATACATGTTTCATGGCCTCTTCTGCTGAAACCCTTTTCTTAGATTCATACTGCAGAAAAGCACAGAACTGCTTCATTAATCTTTTTTCTAACTAATGTAAAAAGTTGGAAAAGGGTAAATTAGTATTTAAAGTAATTGTTAAAGGCTTCATTACTTAGTATGATTATATTTAAACACCAGTTTGGAATACTCCAAATACACTCAAATTTGAGTTGCTTTTGAGAGTATGTAGTCATGATTCTATCTTTGTTCCACATTTCCAAGATAAGGCTTGATCATAAAACATTTAAGAGTCCTTGTATCTTCGAAAGTGGCAAAAAACTTAAGTATTCAACCTTTAGTCTTAATTCCTCATGAACACCAAAGGATTGGTGGGAATAAACCCGATATCTTCATTACAGATGTTCTGCTATGTGTCCAGCCAATATCCATTGCTGTTTTTTCTGACAATACAACCTAGACTTGTTCCAAGTGTCCAGCTGAATCATGACTGCTCTAAGTCTGAGCTAATCACATCAGTCCTGCGCCCCAATTCCCAGCCTCTCTTACAATTGATGCTCTGGCCAATGAGACTTGGGAAGAAGGCTTGCAGGGGGGTTCTGTGAAAGCCTTTGCTTTCAAGTGTAAGAGTTAATGTGGCTGGTTCCACCCTTATCCTCCCTCTTCTTCCTGCTTTGGAGGAAAATGAGTGGTATTTGGAGGTGGAGCATCCTGTAAAGCAGTTAAGTGTAAGGAGAAGGAACATAAGAGAATGTGAATTGCAGAGAACATGGTCTTAGCATAGCTGACCCATGCCAGCAATTGACTGTGCTAGTCACAACAAGAGACACAGACACATTAAGAGAAACCATGTAACACATGCTTTACTAAAGCATGCTATATACTAACACAGAGAATCCTACTTAGCAATATTTGAGGGCACTACAACTCATCCAATTCTGTATGAATAAACGAAGGCTTAAAGATTCATTGAACATTTACAAAATAGGATGTAACTTACTTGAAGAAATTTTGTTATCAATTCAATTCCTTCAGAGTCTAACCTAGAAACAACAACAAATAAGTAGTAACTTAATCTTTTATTTTACTTTTCAGATAAAATTATTTAAGTATTTTCATGCTAAATTTAAGTGCCCTAAAATGGCCTCAGTTGTTGCCTTCAGGTATATTCAAATTTGCTTTAGCTTTCATAGACTTATCTGTCATATTTGCTTAAGAACAAACCATAAGTAATTGGGAATCAATTCAAATTCTGAATATTCAAGAAAAATTATTAAAGCTATAGAAATTGTTTGGTTACTGTTCTGTCTGAAAAGAACGAAGCTCAATAATAAAGAAAGCATAAGTATTACAGTGATTTTCAGTGTTCTTGTGAAAAAAAGCCCACAGCAGCATCATTTTCCTGTTGCAGAGATGGAAACACAGAGACAGGGATCCTAAGATGCCTCAGTGGGCCAAGATAAACCCAGAGATAAGCCATTCAACAAAATTTTACAGGATAATCTGCCCATCAGTGGGTTCTAGAAGGTACTAAGTTCCTTTTTTTTTTAATTTAGGGAAGGGTCTACAGAGTGTTCAGGGTCTCACTACTAGATCGGACTCATAGTGATCCACCTGTTTACAGCCTCCCAAGAGCTGGGATTATAGGCGTGAGCCACCACGCTCAGTCTCAATTGCCATCTCAGAGCACCCTGGGGGTGGGGCAGGCAGGCCCAGGAATCGAACCTCTGGCCCCTGCTTGCAGGCACTTAATCTGTTGAGCTATTTGGCCAGCCCCCTCAGTTTCATTTAAATGTGCCACAATTTCATAAAGCTTCATTAATACGGGCCAAGAAGCCAAAGGTATAGTCAATAAAGAGAGCCAATTACAGGAGCTATAGTCAAGAAAGACAGCTAATTAGGGTGATGTAATCAACATAACTAGGAAGGCTATTTTAACGAGATTTTTGTTTCAATGGAATAATCTGCTGATCAGACATCACACATTCTCTGGTGCACTGTGTTTCATGGGCAAAAGTACAGCCCTCTCTGGGTCCTATGGATGCTGTAGCCCAGACCTTCTCCAGGGCCTTGTAGTTGCCTTTCTGACCCACACACAGAGCTTCCTGGGCACAAACTAGGTGCTAAAACCATGGAGAATCCACCTCAAGCTGCAGCACTGAACATTACCAGAAGTCAGCAATATATAAATAACAAAAACAGGATTTATACTGCTCTGGAGGCACAGTAAAAAGCCCAGTACATACTATATTATTCTTCCTAAGAAAGATTAGTTGAGAATGATATTAGTTGCTATAGCAACAAAAAGAACATCAATACATATAAATACTTCTAAAATATTTTTGGTGCCAGAAATATTCGCTGTCCCTCTCTAGCTTGAGAATAAGCGGAAGCAAAGTAAATGTGTTATGTTGTAAGCAATGTGAATGGCTTTTGATGAAACCAATGTCCTTATTTGGTATTTTGGTGATTTTAAAAACAAATTCTTTTTAAGGAAGATGGAAAATGAAGTCAAAAGGGCTTGATATCCTACATTACTGCTAATGTAATATACTCTGCAAGTAAAAATATTCTGACTCAAACTCTAAGGAGAGTCTTGCACTGACAGGCGTGAGGAGTGCCTTGCACTGCAGTGCTGCTGACACTTGGGAGCTCGCCTTTGGCTCAGGAGTCAGAGGAGCTTATATTCTTCAAATACAAAACTATGTTGTTTGGACAGGAAATCCTGTCTGCTTCTTGTACTATGGATAACCACTAAGAAGATAACAATGTACAATGCATTGATTATCGAAACTGTCCTATTAATCAGCTTTGAAACTGTGTAAATAAATTTTAAAAAATTAAAATTAAAATGTTTTCTTATAAAAGATACTGAATGTATTTATGCCTTCCAAGTGTACAGTATTCTACAATGTAAATGGTTTTTTTTAGATTTAAACATATGTCTTTCTTTTTTTTTTTCCATATGTCTTTCTTTTATGCTCCAGATATTTGTAATAAGAGGTTCATGTCAACAAAGAGATCATCAGTCAAATGATAATTTTCTAACGCAAACTTACGTGATATCTAAAATGGAGATTTCACCATCAGTGTTATGCTGTTACTCTGTATGACTACTGATGTCAAATGATCTCTATAAAATTATATAACTGTTAAAAAAAGGAGTATTTTGCTGAGTTAACACACCTATAATATTCAAATAATGGAACTAAACAAAAAAAGGGATACAGACGAATATCCATTTTGTATCTGTGTATTCAAAGTGGTTAGGATAGATATATAGTTACATTCTCTTAATGAATAGAGGGATTTGTTCTAATAGTGTTTGTAAAGAGGGTATCATGTCTACATCTTGTACAGCAAATAACCACTAGGAAGAGAGTATGTAATTTGTTAATTATTGAAACTGTCCTACCAATTTGATTTGAAACTGTCTCATTGCTATTTGTTTCTCAAGTATGGAAAAAAAACTATGTCAGCTGGTAATATTGATGGAACATTATGTATCATAGTCAAAATTTTAACTATCACATTTAGGTTTCTATGAGTAAATGCAGAACAATTCCACAGAAAGCAGAACAGAAAGAAAGAGATCATCCCTTTCATGTTTAGCAAGGCATTCCTCAATGCCTCTGCTCTGGGCAAAGGCGCCGTCTACAGAAATTCTCATATATACATTCTATTTACTGCCAGCTTATTCTTTTTTTTTTCTTTTTTTTTTTTTTTTTTTGCAGAACCAGGGATTGAACTCGGGCCCTTGCGCTTGTCAGGGAAGTGCTTATTCTACTGAGTCATCTCCCCCACCCCCTCATTCTGTTTATATACTTAGGTGATTCTTCGTTGCTAAATAAAAAACCAAAATAAAAAAAAAAAAAAAAAAAAAAAAAAAAAAAAAAAGACAAAAGAAGGAAGAAATTTAATTAAATTAGATCCTCAGACATTTAAGAATTGTGGTATACTTGTCATTAATTTTTATTAGACAAATATTTCAAGGATTGAAAAAAATATATAGGTTTTCCCCCTTTTTTTTTTTTCAAAGTTTTATTGATAAACAGCAATGAGACAGTTTCAAATCAAATCGGAAGTACAGTTTCAACAAATAATACACTGCATATATTCTTCTTAGTGGTTAATTGCTGTTCAAGATGCGGACTTGTGATCCTATTTACAAACACCATTAGAACAAATCATTCTATTCATTAAGAGAATGCAACTATATATCTATTCCAACCTCTTTGAATACACAGATACAAAATGGACATTCATTGGTATACCCCATTTTTTCTACGTTCCGTTATTGAATATTATAGGTGTGTAAACTCAGCAAAATATTCTAAAAGAGTCCAGTAGCCCATAATAGCATTGGGTCTTCTGTTTAACTGGCAATGTCAGAAATTATTGACCTGAGTCCCCCACAGCTCAACTTAACAGCATGGTTTTATTTCTTATTCCCCTTGTTTTTTAAAAAAAAATACCTGGGTGCATGGTTTATTAGAGGCTGCGGTTTGTATTTAGGAAAGTTGTAGTTCTTGAATTCATCATTTGAAGAAACACCTGGCCAAGTTTCCTGAGACGGTGTTCCTGAATTAAAAATATAAATTTACATATGTATGAATTCACATAAAATTATACATACATACAATTACACATGCACAGATGATAGGTAAAACTAAGAAGTGTCTTAGGGAACAACTTACACTTATTAGATGATTTAATTTCAATTCAATGACAAAAATATGCATTACTTATGGATTATGTAATGATGCTATAAACACTACAAGTGAGCCAAAGTAACAGTGAAAATTAAAAATTTTGTAAAAAATAAACTTACTATAAAAGACACTTTGCCAGCAATGATAGGTAAGTGTGTTCACCGGGGGGGAATATTTCAAGGGCTGTGCAAAACGTTAATGGCAATGTGTCTTTTATGTTACACATTTTAAAATTTAAACATTAACTGTATTTTTGGTTCAGATCACTGATCAACTGTATACAGCAATTACTGCCAAGTAAAGTCTTTATTGTGTCTCCTCATCTGCCTTATTCAATGGATCCGACACCATCTGAGTTCTGGCTCTTCCTACAAGTCAAAATGACCATGAAAGGTCAATGTTTTCTTGTTTTGTTTTTTAAAAAACTTTTATTTCGTACAGGATCTTGCTATGCAGCTTGGACTCTTGGTGATCCTCCTGTCTTAGCCCCCCCCACACACACACATGTTCTGGAATTATGTGCACCACCATGCTCGGGTTCAGTGGCCAGCATGGTGGCACGGCATGTGGTACAAGGGATTAAACCAAGGTCCTTGCGCTTCCCAGGCAGGTGCCTAGACCGCTGAGCTATCTCCCCAGTCAGGTAAATGTTTCTCATCAGTTCAGGACAGCGAAGTACCCAAAACAATACAACTAACGATACAAAAGAGGACACTCAGAACTGCTGCAGAAAGTGGCAAAGATGATGGGACACATGTGTTGGAAGCGAGGAAGAGTATTTTGGGAGAGGGAGAGTGATAGCAATTTACCACAGTAAATTCATAAAATGTGCATACTCATTGCATGTTTTGATCACACCTATGAAGCTGTCTGACTTTTTTCTACTCGGATGTTACCACCTAAGCTAGAATTACTCAGTAATATGCTAAAGCTAAATTTTCAGTAATATTTCTCTTCTCCTTTCATAAAATCTTTATTGCAAATATAAAACTCTGCAAATGAAGTTACCTAGAAAGATCTGTCTTATAATAATTAAGCTAGTGGTGATTCTTTTTTTTTTTTTTTTTTTTTTGGTGTGTGTGTGTGGTACTAGGGATTGAATACAGGACCTTGGGCTTGCCAGGCAAGTGCTTATTCTACTGAACTATCTCCTTGGCCTAGTGGTGATGCTTAAACCTAACAGCTGTTTATATTAGTCTGAGTATAAAATATTTAAATGTACATTTTTTAGAGATACAGTGTTATTCTAGCTAGTCAACTGCAGGTGTGAATCTCTGGAAGAGGAGTTCTTCTGTTACCTAGTAGTCGGAAAATTAAGTGTAGTTCATCTTCCACAGTTGATCCTGGAAACAGAGGTCTTCCCGAAGCCATTTCAAAGAAAATGCAACCAACACCCCTTTAAAATATATGATGAAAAGAAAAAAAAAAAAAAAAAAAAGAACATCTATTTACATATTATGAAGCACAAGAATTCTTTCCCAGATTGCCCCCTGAAGAATTCTGTATTGGGCTGCTAGAAAACCTCCTGCATCTTTGCATCTACTCTGTTAACATTTACCCATGTGTCTTGACCTGCATGTTGCCAACTCATTTTCCCACTTAAAATTCCCAGTTCTCTTTTGCATGATTCTTAAAGAGAATACAGTAATTAACAGCTACTGAATGCTTATATGTGTATTCAACTGTAAGTGTTTGGACTACGGCATCAAATCCTTGCATCGGTCATAGTGTGGACCATGGCTTGAAAGCACAAGACACAAAGGGTGAAACACTATGATAGTCTGGGAAATGACAATGGCCTGACCTAAGCCAGAGGGTATCATGGATAGAGAGAAGCAAATAATTCAAGATTTTTGATGCAGGAAGCAGAGACAGAATAGTTGGGTAGAGGGCAGAGTACATGGGGGTATGTACGTGTGTGTGTGTGTGTGTGTGTGTGTGTGTGTGTGTGTGTGTGAAGGAAAAAATGGATGGAGCCTCAGTGAATAGACACTGTCATCGAGAAGCTGTGGGTATACAAGTAAGTTACAGTACTTCCACTAAAGGGCTCACAACCGAGTAAGTATACTAAAGCTACACAAAATGTATTTTTACATATTAAAATGCTATACGAAAGTAAAATGTTACAGCTACTATGGAAAACAGTATAGTGGCTCCTCAGGAAATTAAAACAGGATTACTACTTGATGCAGCAACTTTATTCCCAAGTACATACCCCAAAGAACTGAAAGTAGAGACCTGCACACTCATGCTCACAGCGGCATTTTCAACTATGAAAAGATGTAATCCACTTGAGTGTCTAACACGGACAACGGGATAAACTTAGAATATACATGCAGCACTTAGTCTGACACACACTGCAACAGGGATGGCCCTGAAAGATATTGCTGGTGAGGTAAGCCTGGCAAGCCAGCCAAATGAGGACAAATGCTGCACTATTCCACCCATCTGAGGTACTCAAAAGTAGGTAGTCAGATTCACAGAAAGATGGTAACTGCCAGGGATGGCAAAGGAGGTGCGACAGGGACCCATTTAATCAGTGCGGAGTGTCAGTTCTTCAAGATGAAAAATGTTTTGAAGATGGTGGGATATTTGTGGACGTACTTAATGTCTCAAAAGTATGTGCTTGAAACTGATTACAATGGTAGATTTTATGTTATGCACATTCTATTAGAACTTAAAAAGAAGTTATGGAAAAGATTTTATGTAGCTGTTCAGGACAAAGGATATAAGATCAGAACAGGTACATAAAATATAGGCAGTACATGAAAGCACACTTCAGAGGAAGAAATGACCACTGTAGGCAAGGCTGTATTCAAGAAAGAGCTCAGCAAAGCTGGGTTGGGAAGGTTACTAGGCACAGGTCCCGGGAGGAAGAGCAGAGGCCAGGTGGGTGAGCTGGAACAAACAGGAGCACAGGTGGGAGAGCGCAGGTTGTTCGCTGAGGTAGCAAGTAGGCCTTTTGGATCAAAGGAAACAGAGTGAAAAACAGCAGGCAGGGAGTTGGCAAAGATACTCTATGGAGACACCATAAGATACCCTTAAGTGGGAGACGAGGAATGGCCCTTAGTCTAGATAACACATGCAAGGTGTTTGGGTGCAGGAGTATGATGCTCAAAGTGGTATGTGGGGACAACTTTTTATTTCTAGAACAACTTAAAGTAGGTAGATTTTTTATGAATAGTAAATGATAAAACAGTAAGTTTTTAAAAATTACTATGTCTCCAGCCTTGTGATTTTTTATGTATTAGCTCAGTTGTTTTTAATGCTATTTACAGAACTTTAATGTAGTTATTACTAATCCTGCTGCCTTAAATGAGGAAACTAAGGAGCAAGCCAATAATTTGAATAAGGCCATCAAACAATGGGAGAGGTGATATTTAAATCTAGGTAATGAGATTTGTTAGACTCCCATGCCATAATTCTTACTCACTGTTTCCACTGTGCTCCCTAAAATAGATCTCTAGATATTTACCACATGTCGATCTGTGTCGAGTACTCTGAAGAGCCAAGAAGCACATCAGGGGGCCGATACCACAGCGTGACCACCTCATTTGAGTAGGTCTTCGTAGGGACTGACTTGGCTCTGGCTAGTCCTTAACAGGAAAAAGAAAACAAAGAATTAGATATATTCCAATCCAGTAGGAATAGATTGGATTTCTCAGCTCCTATCCCCAACATGACCCCACTCAAAGCACTGCTGGAGATGGCTATTCTGTACCTTCTTAAAGCTTCAACAAAATTAGACTCGTGAATTTTGTTGCTGAGTGCGTGCAGTCTCAGGCCAGGAAATCCTTAAAACTACAATAATTCCACCACCAGAAAATAAGCTTACTGTTACGTGTATGAATGTACCTCAAACAATGTCCGTGTTAATCTAAACTTAAGATGTTTTTCTCTTATTTATGAGTCATGATGCCAAATCATTTCCTTGATGAATTAAATTAATTCAAAATAAGCTGCTGATACTGAGAAATACAACTTTATTTGCTATACTATAAGCTTTTTATCACTTTTTAACCTAACTTTAACGAGTGACTACTCTACTATTTTACTGTAAAACCTTGAAATCATTAGTTTATGATCCAGTTAGGTTTTACTGACAATTTACTTAAAGAAATCTATTTAGAGAAGGCTTCCTTGGCATAAGTTATAATGCTCTCTGTTCTCCCTTTTTATATTTTAAATTTTGGGATAATTTTTAAATGAGAGACCTCATTGCTTTGGGGTATTACTAGTTGGGATAACTGCTTCACTATGAAATGCATTGATTTTCCAGAAATAAAGTCTTGAGTTCCCACTTTACCTCCTGGTCACTAGCGTGAGTATTTTTATTGCCTGCACATCTCTAAATTCTGACCTTCTGGAGAAGCTGAAAAAATATAAATTTATTTTTATGTATTTTATTTCAAATAATGAGAACTCATTTTTAGGTCGAAAGTTCTGTTCTATATAACCACATACCTGACTATCAAGAAAAATGTCACTGAAGGTAACTCAATACAGAACTGAATGAACTCCCACAAAGAATACTAGAAACAAGTGATTAAATGGCACTCACTACTGTTCTTCAGAACTACTGTTCTTCAGCATCACGGCTAGCAAGTGTTAACTGAAACAACCTTGACGCTATTTTAAACTACAAATTTTACTCTAGCATCCCAAGTTGATAAATTCAATGAATTATTTTTCCACTATTTTTCACAATTAGGAAAATTGAAGGTAGCATTCTGATTTGTCTTTCTCGTAACAAGACACAAAGGACAAGGCGTTAAATCTGTTTATCCTGTAACTTACACCATCGAGGCAAATGGCCAGCTACAAGTTCCTTTACTTCACTCTTCTACTCCTGAGAAGATTCTGAACTAGGATGCTTGTCCAAATAGGCTCCTAGATCATTATTAGAATTTCAGGCGTGGCATGAAGTGAAATACACAATTTTTCCCAATCCTAGTTAACTAAATGTGACATACTACTATATAAGCCAATTTTTGTCATTGATGAAAATGTCTACAGCAGTAGTTCTTAGATTTCTGAACTTCACTAGTCCCAGTAAAAGGTAGAACTTTTAAAGGGATAAGGAACTAACAGTAAACTACTCAAATTACCCACTCTTCCTAGAAATCATGAGTATAACATATTATGCAGTATCTTATGGAATAATCAGAATTTCTTGGTGGTCAATGGGAAGATAAAATGTGCATGGCTTGCTCTGCACAGAAAAGAAGCTAAATTTAATATATTCTGAATATGCCTGGATAAAAGCAGATTTTTTTTTAATGGCCCTTGACATTCCTTTAACAAATTTTTTAAGTATTTGTTTACTTATTTGGTACAAGGTGTGGCTCACAGTGATCCTCCTGCCTCAGCCTCCCCAGCCCTGGGATTATAGGTGTGGCCCATCACGCCTGGCTTGGGGCCCACACAGCACACCTGGGGTTCTGGGGCCTGCAGGGCATGCGGTACCTACTAGAGATCCAACTCGGGCCCCAGCCGAGCTATCTCCCCCACCCCACTGACATTTCTTTTGCGAATATCCCAAAGTGGTTTCTCAGTTCCCGCCATTCATTTGGGATTAACAACAAGGAGCAGTAACTGCAATTTGACAAAGAAGAGGACAAAGGAGTAGAAAGAGAACAAGGGAAATAAACTGCAAGACACAGTAAAATCAATGTCACAGTTTGTAATGTCTTAAAAACATATGGCTCATTCATTTCAAGGAAGGAAAACACAAATAACAATTTATCTGGTACACAAATGGCCATAAGTATTTAAATGACCATAAATAACCATAAATATAGGAACTGTCGAGCCAAATTCACCATGTAATAATCAGGTATTTTTATGGCTACTAAGCAATAACTGAAATATAGTATTTATGGAATTTAAGGAACTATCCCAAAAGTAAAAGTATCATACCTTGTGAAAAATTACAAATGGTAAGTGTGGAGACAGCATAGGTTTCAAAAACTAAGTTCTGTCAGAGTCCTCAAGCTGACAGCAAGCCCAAAACATTAAAGCTATGCTACAAAGTTCTTTCAAAATAAAAAAAGTTTACCTCCTAGAAGCAAGAGAAGCATGTTATTTTACGTTACTATCTTTTTCTTTTTTCCTTTTTTTGGGACAGGATCTCACTAGGTATGCAGTGCAGGCTGGCCTCGAGCTCACAGTGACCCTCCTGACTCATCCTTCTAAATACAACCATAACAGGTATACATCACTATGCCCAGCTGTTTTACTTCGAAATCCCTCAACATCAGATTAGCTAAAATGATAGAGGTAACAGTTTCAATTAAATTACTGAGCACATAATAAACAGAATAATGATGGCAGGCTATATATTAGGAAACCTCTTTCACAGAGAATGCTTCCAAACTCTTGGGTTCTAGGATATATTTTCTGCTCTTAAAAAATTAAGGACCTGGGCCAGGCGTGGTGACACACACCTGTAATCCCAGCACTTGGGAGGCTGGGACAGGAGGAATGCCACAAATTCAAGGACAGCTTAGGCTACACAATGCATTCAAGCCCAACTTCAACTACAGACAGACCCTACCTCAAAAAACAAAACAAAAGAACAGTAGACATAAGAGCATAGCAAGAATATAAAAACAGCTACTTCAATAGTTTGGAGGACTTGGGCCGGGGAGATGGCTCAGTGGAATAAGCGCTTCCCTGGCAAGTGCAAGGGCCTGAGTTCAATCCCCAGTTCAAAAAAAAAAAAAAAGAATAGAAGCACATAGTTTGGAGGACTTAATACACTACTGATGGAAGTACTATGTATAACATTAAGGAAAGAAACGCAGCTTCAAATTTTAAATTGTGATATGGTTTGTTATTGGGATTTTTACTTTATACTTAATAAAAAAGTCTCTAAATTTAGTTATAAATTTATATCAGACACCATTTTTGTACATAAATAAGAAATACACATTTGACTGAAAAAAACATTAAGGATTCCAAATTTTTTACAGTATTTATATAGATTACTTTTGACAATATATTTGAAATTACAACAAAGAAAATCTGAAATGTTTATTTCTTAAAACATTTACTCATTTAAAATATGACTCGTGGGAATATATCTCTAGTGCCTAGTACAGCATTTGCTTAGTGCAAGAGGCCCTGGTTCCAATATCTAGTACCACAAAATCAAACCAAACCAAACCAAATCAAACCACTACAACAAAAAATACCATTCATGCATGCTATAATTAATAACATACTTTGGCAATTTTTTCCAATTACCAAGAACGGTCCTTTTTTTTTTTTTTTTTTTTTTTTCCTTTTGGTACTTGGAATCAACTCAGGACCTTGCACTTGCCAGATAGGGCCCCATCTCAATGTAAGAGCTGGATTCCATATTTACTTCTGCATCTAATGTTCTAACATGCTACTTTTATATGAATCACAATATACATATCATGGCATATCAAATACATATACAATGTATGTTTAGATATAGATAAAAAATAAAATCACACAAGTGAGAAACTAGAAAAAGGAACATTTTAAGTATTTTCTGATAACTGGGGATAGTCCTCTTTGACACTACTATGTTAGAAGGTATATCTTAAAGGTTACGTGGTAACAGCAATATCAGTGAACTTGTATTTCTGTTAAAATCCACTGGTCTATGGGCCAGGGAAATAGCTCCATGGCAAAGCACCTGCCTGGCAAGAGCTAGGCCCTGGTACCACATACAAAAAAGAGAAAGAGAATGTAAATCCACTGGCCTATCTTGTACTCTAAATAAACCTTATACCTATGCACGAGTCCAAAATATCATCATGCATTGGTAATTTTAAAAATAACGGTTCCTTGATATATATATATATATATATATATATATATATATATATATATTTTATAATATCAAAAATTCTTATTTGTTAATATCACCATTGATCTCATTAGAAAAGTCTCTGGGTATTGGAAAATTATTAAGCCCAAAGCAGCAGATCCAAATTTTAACACTATAATTTTTGTTTGAAAATTTGAATTTTATTTTTGGCAAGAAATACTTCGTTGTTTTCCCTGAAATGACAGGCTCAGTTTGTTCTCTCTCTCTTTCCTTCTTTTTTCTTCTTTTTTTTTTTTTTTTGTGGTACCAGGGATTGAACTCAGGACCCCTGCACTTGCCAGGCAAGGGTTTATTCTACTGAGCTACCATTCCGGGCCCAGTTCGTTCATTATCAAGAAAATTCTGCGAAGTACCTAAGTCTGAATGAATAAATAACCATAGTTGGCCTGTTGGTCCATTTTTAAAAAAGTAATACTGTTATTTCTTTAAGGGGGGGTTCTAGTTCAGCTTGAACCCAAATAATCACAATTACATTTTGTTGAGATAGCTGTAATATTTCTATGTGTAATGAATGTGTTCTATGTATAATTCTTACTCATTACAAAAAATACTTAAAAGATATATATGTACTCAATGATGGAGATTTAATAGTTAATAAATATCCCCTAAAAGTGTGCAGCTGGTAAAAGAATATAATTCCATACACTTTGGTCATACCAACTGGACATATTAAGTAAACAGTAGCTTTCCCCTTTTTCTTTATTTTTGAATCATTAGGGCAAATATCAACTAAATGAAAAAGGCAAATAACAGTTTAATTTTGATAATATATTCTACCTTTGTTGTTTTTTCCCCAAGAAAGGACCTCGGGGCCCCAGAGGTTTCTGGACTACAACTTGAGAACTCCTGGCTTCGGTATTGCTTGCTAATAACCAGTATCAACCACCCACCACAATTCTGTCAAATATCTTATTCTGTGGGGTACAGAAACAATTTCCAAACCCACATACAAAAGTGGTGACACACTGTGTCACACTGTGACAATTATTCTTTTTATACTTAACCACCTGTAAGTACTTATAAATATCTCATCATTCCATACCAAAATCTGCTAGCTTTAATTCTCCTTTTTCATTAATGAGGAGGTTCTGTGGTTTCAAGTCTCGATGCAACACCTTTCTTCTGTGGCAATATGCCAAGCCACGTAGAATTTGGTATAGAAACAGCTACAGAAACAAATAAGTGAAAATCAGTCTTATAGATATTGAACATAATAATAAGCACAAATTACGATTCAAGAAAAGCAACTGGTCTAGAATAGTAAAAGAAAAAGTCAACCAAGTCTTATCCTTTAAAGAACAATGCCCTTTCCTTTTCAGTTGTTCGCTGAATTGTACAGTTTATCAATCACACTGAAGTATCTGCCTTTTTGCTCTAACAGTTTCTAGGAAAAAATGCTACAAATAAAATGAAACTTTGTCTTGGTATTAACAGTTCATTTCTCATAAACTTAGCAACCTACTAAGGCTTACAGTTTGATTTTAAAATCCTGACCTAACAAGAAATGAGCCCTGCCACTTACACGCCTTCCTTCTAAGAACAGATGAAAACCCACAATCAAAAACAAATAAAATACTCCACATCCAATCTGGACTACTGTCTTTCAAATAAAGTACTGATGGTTTTATGAAAAGTCTGAATATCACAGAGAATGTGCCACATTGCTCTGGCAAATTACTTGTTACAAAAATAACCTACGCAGCTCCTATCATCCACCTCCTAGCTACTGTACTTTCAGCGCCTCCTACTCAGTCTTGAAAACCTGCTGATTCAGAAAGAGGCCTTAGCACTGTGATGTTCCTGACTAGCTGAAAAAAGTAAGAGCTGTATGGCTCATGGGAGAGATTCTGTAGTGAACTTGGCTAGAAAGCAGAATGTGGAGCACATCTGGATTTTTTGAGGTTAACAACAACAACAACAAAACACCCTGAAATACAGAGGACTCAAGAGGTACCTTCCATACCTTACACTTGCAGGTGAAAACCAGGTATGAGAACACCAAGGACAGGCCAAGGAAGAGGCGGATGAGGGCCTGCATGAGGTCTAAGCAGCAGAGCTTCTAGACTCTAATATTTATATATTTTGAAAACTTTAAGATTACTATTGCAATGTATTCTCAAATTCTGTTTGAAAATTCTGTTTAAAATAAAATTTTAAGAAATCAATAATAAAATGTTTTTCTACTCTGTAGCCTTTAGAGACCTGAGTTTAAAAAATGAGAACTCCTTTGTTACATTACTAAAATTAAGGGTTTTGTTTTTATTCCAAATTATTGCTAATATAAAAGTAGTAAAAATAAGTAGATATACTAATGACACTCACAATACCTTGCACAATGAAATGTACAGTATGATGAAAACAGTCTTCGCAGAATGTATATGAAAACACATTTAAAGCTCTGTACTAAGATTCTTAGCAGGGCCGGGGAGATGGCTCAGTGGAATAAGTGCTTCCCTGGCAAGCGCAAGGGCTTGAGTTCAATCCCCGTTTCCGCAAAAAAAAATAAAATTCTTACCCATATGATTGGAGCGCCCTTTTAGTAACAGAAACTGGTTCACCTTTACACCTACCAAACTTACAATTTAAAAGCAACAAAACACATATATTTATATTTACTAGCTAAATAGAATTAAACATGTCTTAAACACACAGATGGGATATTCTATTTCCAAAATAGGTTCTCATAAACTGTTGACCAAGTCTGGACAAATAAATCTTTGCTCAATCTGGACTATACCATTGAGGACAAAGTGAAGTGTTCTTACTACTGTCAAAAAACAATTTTTTTTTTTTTTTTTTTTGGTACAAGGGATTGAACTCAGGACCCTGTGCTTGCCAGGCAAGTGCTTATTCTACTGAGCTGTCTCCCTGGCCCTTGTCAGAACACAACTGTATCAAATGATTTCATTCAACTAGTACCTTTCAGGTTTCACCTGGTGTTATTATAGCAAAAATGTCTAGCCCTGGAGGAATTCCTAGTTATATTAAGAAAACACAAGCATCTTACTTTGGTTTTGATAATATAAGCAGGTATTTCCAGCATAGCACTACTAATGTTAACCTCTAGGCTCCTGGCCTTATTCATTAGGTTAGAAGCCTGAAAAGCTGTTACTTTATAATGACATCCCATTGGAAATACACTAGGGAAAATCATCCTGTAAGGAAGCCTTTTGCAAAATGGATCTAGCATTTGTATTCACCTTAAACTTTGTTTAAAAAGCAGAATATGACAGGATATGCATTCTACATGTACGAGAATAAGTTGTAAAAGAAATTGTTAAAAATAATTTTTTTAAACCTTGAAAATGAAACTTCTACGAAAAGGTTTAATCATATATATATATATATTTCGTAGAACTGTGTGTGTGTGTATTTACATATGAGAAATTCTGAATCAGTTATGAAGCTGGCCCATCTTTTTGTGCAGTACAGTTCATTATGTGATACAGAACAACACACCTTCACGTTGTGCATGCTCATGATGCTCCCGCAGTCGTCCATGTACTGCTTCAGGTCTTTATCCTGAAAAACACAGCAGCTCGCCGCGTGAGACACTCAGAATGCACAGCTGAGTCACCTCGCAGCATCTGATTTTATCTTTCTGCTTTTCAAGAAAGATACAGGATGCATCACACAAATAATTCACTCACACATCAACAGTAAGAATGTCCCTGGGGCTGTTGGAAAGTTCAATATGCTATTAAAGCACAATTAAATTATTGAATTTTTATTAAATGCTTACCAGATATTCAAAGACCAAAGTCAAAGATTTATCTGTGTGAACAATGTCATGTAAGGTTACTATATTCGCATGTTTTAAATCCTTTAGTAGAGAAACTGTAAAACAAGAAAAACAGGTGTTTTTAGGTTTTTGGTAGCTAGTCTTCATAAAGTTCTGAATTAACCTAACATATGAGCTGGCCTTATTTAAAGGTCATATCTTAAATTTAAAACAGTACTTGACAAAAGGGATTGGTAGGGTAAATTTTTTTCTTTCTCTTTTTGTCCTGGTTTTGAGTTTGAGACTACAGAACCTAAAGTTGGTCTCAATATTACAAATCCCCATCTTCTGTTTTGTCTTTAATATTAATTAGGCTCTGAACTTAATTTCAACAAAAAGTGGAAAGGCCCTTCTTCCTCCACACTGTTGATCAGTTCCTCAAACCATTTCTGAATAATTCATTTTACTTATAAATTAGTATCTTGATATATCTGCCTTATTTCCTTGTATTTATTAATCTATACAGCTAATTTGCTTACTATGCTCCCTGTGCACTAATACACAAACTTCTCCATGTCAAGTACGTGTCAACAGTTTTAATGATTTCATCATAAGCTATACAATAATTCCATTCTAGTGAATATTTCTAGAGCTTAACATTTTAAATGTCTAATATTTTCTAGTTACCTGTTTCTATAGCTGAACTTTTCACATATTTAAAAATATCTGTAAAGCTTTCATTGTAAATTGTTTAATATGAATATTATACCTTCTCGTATAGCTGTACAGGGCGCTCCTTCCTCATGTTCCAAGCGGATCTCTTTTAAAGCCACCAAATTCTCTGTCAATTTACTTCTGCCTTTATATACTGTTGCATATGTGCCCTATAAAATATATTTTTGACGGATACAATAAAGCTGTCATGAGTCTTAACACGATCTATGCAATAAAAAGCCATAAATGAGTTTCTAATTTCAAACCATGCTAAATTATATCTTGGGGGGGGAACTCCACAAAAAGCAGCATTCATTTTCCTTAGAGGAGAGAAGATTGTAAGCTCCCTAACACACAGCTTCCATATTTTTATAGTATTAGAGTGCCTCAAAAGTACAAAAATAGAGAGGGCAATTTACCTTTTATAATTGATTTCAGATTAACACTTGGATCAACAGACTTAAAAATCAAAAGTGCTTTATTTGCAATGAGATGTGAGAAGTAAACAGTAACTGAGAACATTAAATTAAAATATAATTATTAAATCATAAAAATGTTTATGCTTTCAGGCTTTTTAGAATCTTTTATATATTAATTCTTATTTTATTTTTGTATGTATGTATGTGTATATTTATTTTTGTCTTTCTGAGACAGGGTCTTGCTCTGCAGTGCAGGCTGGCCTTGAGCTCACTTTGTAGCCCAGGTTGGTCTCACACTCACAAGGATCCTCCTGCCTCAGCCTCCTCTGAGTGCTAGGATTACAGGCATGCACCACCATGCCTGGCTCTTAATCCTTTTAAAAACTCCCTTAAACTTTCTATTTAACTACGTCAAGCTTTTGCTCTTTCTTACCGGAGGAGGTAGGTAGTTTCTAAATTACTAACGCTACTGTCAGTAGTAAATTCAAGAACATCAGACCTTACTTTACTGAGATGGGTTTTTTCTAGACATACCATTGGTTCAAAAATTTGAATTCACAGTTTCTGACATGGCAGCACAGACAGCAAACTGCAAAGAGGGTAACAGACAAAACCCTATTTGGTTACCTAGAAAAGCACAATACTTTTCTTCAAAATTAATACAAGCCTAAGAAAAACTGGTGGGATAATTTCAAGGATTAACAGGTCTTATTTCTTCTCATTTTCCATTTACTTTTCAAAACTAGATATGTTCTTTTAGTCAACCGTGTCTATGCTTTTTTTCCCAAGTGGCAAAAACTGAAGAGTGACAGAGGAGTTCAGATGAAGGACAAGAGAAGTCTGACACTTTTGAAATAAGCATTTACTTACTTCTCCAAGCTTTTCCAATTTGATGTAGGTTTCCATTTTCCCGAATCCAATTTCTGACTGAAAGCAAACAATTACAAATTTAGTATTTATTCTTAAAATTTATATTAGTTTTTTTCTCAACTTGTAAAATTTCTGAAAAGTCTTCAGGAAAAAAACCCCTCTGGTTATAATCTTTTTTTTTTTTTTTGTACTGGCGATTGAACTCAGGACCTTGTGCTTGCCAGGCAGGCACTTATGCTGCTAAACTATATATATATACCCAGCCCAGTTCAAATTCTTGAACATCTGTCAAAAAATATACTCAATTTTAGAACATTAACAGGGTCAGAAATATCCAAATTCAGTTATAATTGTCAGCCTACTTCATGTATGAATTGCTTAGCTTTCTGCTCTGAACACCGCATGATACTAAAGACTCTTACACAAGATGACTATTTTTTCTTTCAACAAATGCGAAAAAATAATTTTTCTACTGAGCTCACTAGTATTTGAACTGCTTAGGGAGAACCGAAAACAAAAAGTGATTTTTTCAGGTTCTCTAATCAAAATAGAGTTTAAAACACACACACACACACACACACACACACCCCAAAATCATATGCTACTGTGGATCAGGACACAGGAAACACAAGGGCAGCAATTAAGTCTAATTGTAGCAAAAAAAAAGTTTATACACAACTTTTCAAACCCTTGCTTTTAAATTTTTAACAAGTTTGCCTATTTTGCGTAATTTTAATAGATGAAGTAGACCCAAATACATACTAAAAATCCAATATGTTTGTTGTGGTTTGGGGTTTTGCAGGGGAAACTATATAATACAGGACACATTTTGAAATATTAGTTTATAAGAAATAACCCAAGAATCATATAGAAGCCAAGAATCATATATAAGCAGTGCAGGAAATCTGTCCACAAACTAAATATTAAAGACTCCAGCTGAGGGCCTAGATCCTAATATCCTGCGTGAGTCCAGATGAAAACCTAGAGCCCACAACAATGCCTCCTACAAGTCCAACTGGAGGCCTAGAGTCCACAATAAAGTCCCATGCAGGCCTGCTTCACGGATCTGTGCTGGGAAAGCCCAAAGGTTTCCCTAACAGCATTCCAGTGGTGGAAGCTAGGAAGTCTATGCTGGCAGGATAAAGGATCAGTGCTAACAGGCTGAGGGATCTGAACTGGAGCTAGGAAGCAACACTCAAGGTAAGCACCAGAGCTCCCCCAAAAGCTCCACAGCCATCCTCAGCCATCCTCAGCACCAGTGAGGTCCCGAGCTCCTACAGTGATGAAGAAAGCCGAGTTCCCATCAGGAAAGTCAATGTGTCAGTCTTCATGAGGCTGAGCAGTGCACCATCTTCCCCCTGGAGCCAGGAAGCGATGCTCAAGATGAGAACCCAAGCTTCTCCAGAGTTCATCGGGAAAGCCAGCAGGACAAGGTCCTCCAGCAGCACAGCCCAAGAGCCCTAGCAGCTTCCAACAGCTCCTCCAAACAGCATCCCTAACAGCATTCCAGCAGCTTCTCCCGTTTTGCCTCTATGCCACTGACAACAACCCTCAGGTGGGCCTCCTACACCTAGCACCATGCTAGTTTAATTCAGCTGGGTGTAATAAGTTGACCGCCAGTTAGAAAGCCACTACAACATTCAATAAATATTTTTTTAAGTTAAAAATTCCTTGATTTTTTATTACCACAATTGTGGTACCACTACCACAATTTACAGGGCTATATACCCGATGTAATGAAAAGAAAGAAAAAGACAAAGCTACAACAGATAAAAGACCTCAGGAATGTACATCTAATTGACACTACATTGCATTAATCAATAGCTGCACTTTTTGCAAACTGGCTATGACAGTCCTGAACCAGAAGGGTTTCCTGGTTAAGCTGCAGTAACTTTTCTGACTACGGATCATCGTTCCTTCTGTGGCAGATGTTTACAGTTCCTTTAATGCATTTGGATGACTGTCTCAAAGTAACCTGCAGCTTTCCTGACAACTCCTTGCTCTCTCTCTTGCTAAGAACGGCAGCCCTTTTCTGTTGTTTTTTAAAACCTTCCGCTACCACATCTACCACTTCTGCCACCAGATCCATAACCACCACCATAGGCACTGCCAGAGCTTCTTCCACCAAAACTGCCCCCTTCAAGGGTCCATAATTTGACTGTTGCTGTCCACTGTAATTGCCAAAACCATAGTTTCCCACACCACCATAGTTACCACCACCAAAATTTCCTCCTTCGTTGTAACCATCATATCCTCCTCCTCCACCAATACTGTATCCACCACCTTGGTTTCCATACCCTGGTCCACCACCACCATGCCCTCCTCTACTACTGTAACCAGGACCACCACCACAGTTTCCACCATCATCTCCAAATCCATTATATCCACCACCACCTCCTCCATAACTACCTCTGCTGCCACCTCCTCCACTACCATAACCTCCTCTTCCACCAAAGTTTCCACCACGGCCAAAATTCCCTCCACCACCTCCAAAGTTTCCTCCGTGACCCATAAAATTGCCAGATACACCTCCACGGCCTCTCTGTGATCCAGCAGACTGCATCTCTTATTTAGAAAGGGCCTTTTTCACTTCACAATTATGGCCATTAATAGTGTGGCATTTCTGAACAATAAGTTTTATCAACTGTATCATATCATCAAAAGTTACAAAAGCAAATCCTCTCTTTTTCCCACTCTGCCTGTCTTCCATAACTTCTATGGTTTCAATCTTGCCATATTTTTCAAAGTAGTCTCTCAAATTATATTCTTCTGTATCTTCTTTAATACCACGAACAAAAATTTTCTTCATTGTGAGACGGACACCAGGCTTTACTGAATCCTCTCTAGAAACAGCTCTCTTTGGTTCCACTACACGCCCATCAACTCTGTGTGGTGCATCCACCTCCTCAACACAGGAGTAAGTCACAAAGCCAAAGCCTCTGGAGCGTTTTGTCTGAGGCTCTCTCATTATCACCCAGTCTTGGAGTGGGCCCCATGTCTCAGTGTTCTCTTAACCTATCATTGGTAGTTTCAAAACTCAGACCACCAATAAACAGCTTCCTCAACTGCTCTGGTTCCTTTGGATCAGGGCCCTCTGTTTTGAGATGGACTCGCCTCTTCCAACTTGAGTTCAATATCAATAAATATTGTTTTTAAAATTCTTAACTATGAAAGATTTAGGGAAAAAAGTATAAAAATTTGAGGAGAGAACAGAAAATTTTTACATAAGTAAATAAAAAAGAGTAAGAATTTCCTTAAAATTGCTTTCTAGAGCACATTTGTAGGCAAGAAAGAAACTAATAATAACCTAAAGGTCCACTTGTTGCTTAAATGGTGCTGATGGCCTTAAATGCTAATGAAAGAAAATGCGTAAGTTTAGTTCTCCAAGGTGTGTAAATTGTATTAGACCATTAAAAACTCTGATAGCTGTGTGTGGTGGCACATGCCTTGACAAGGCTGAACACAAAATGGGCAACTCACCAATGTAGGAAAAGTGAGGGAGAGAGGGAGGATGATTCAATCTCCAGTACCTCCTCCCCTCAATGCCTACATTAAGAGTCAAATTCAAATAGGAAATTTTTCTGGGGCTTCCAAAACAAAATTAATATGTACTTGATGATTAGACTTGCTATCACTTAAACACTTTTGACAAAAGAATAATAAACTATCCAAAGCTGAGTGGCCATAAGTAGCCAAGGACCCCCAAAGGAAGTGTTTTTTTATCTTTTTGTTACAATTCTAAATATGTTAAAAGTCACATGAAAAATTGGATGTCCAATAGTACTTAATTCAGGCTTTGCAAGCTAAAACTTAGGTCACAGGTAGTATAACTGACTGAAAAATTGCTTCTTTTTATAGTCTGTTGTTTTTTTTTTTCTGTGTAAAGCAATTAAATAAGAAAAAAATAACTTTTGGGATCATCATACACTACCCACCCAGGTACTGTCTTATATATGTGATGTAGCATTAATTTCTTGATTTTTGCTATCGATAACTACACAGAATAAAATGAAGTCAGTTTTTAATTTTAGGATGGAACTGGAAACTAGACCATTATGTGACACATGACAGGCTGACTTTAAATAGCCTCTTACTTTATGTAATTGTGTACACAGGCACAGAAATGTCTGTATTTTCTTAAACCCCTCTTTGGAATTCAGGTATTTAAACTCATAAAAATGAGTAATGTTGCAATTTTGCCATGAATTTTAAGATCTATGTCATTTTTTACAGAGGAAAAAAATCATTGAGGATAAATAGAAACTAGTATGAACAAAACAATAAATATATCTGAAAAAATTTTTAAAATCTCATTATGACAGAATTATGACAAAATATACCTATAAGTCAGGAAACATTTTCTTCTCAACTATAGAACTTTTCTTATTCTCTTACCTTAAATAAATGAACAATAGTATGCTCTTAAAGGTCCAAATATGCTTTGGTCCAGTGGTAACAACCCTGACAAAAAATGAGGTTTGCTCTGAAGATACATTCAGTATTACAAAGCCACTACTCAGAGAATGAAATTCAACATTAGAATATGCTGAAAATCTGCTTTCTAAAGAAAAGTATGGTTGATAATAATTACACAGCTAGTATAGAGGACTCTGAATGCCCCCCACACCCAGATGACAGGTGTCTGGGTGTGGGATGTGTCCCTGACTCTGGTCCGATCATCACATGGTATGCACATGTACTGATATGTCACACTGTGCTCCATAAATAACTACATCAGGGAAAAATAAAAATATACATCTAAAAAAGAAAGTAAATTATAACATAACTGTGAAATATGACTGCATTATAATTTTGAACTTAAATTTGAATAAGTGGTCTATCAAATAAACAGCACTACTGAGTTGCATCCACATAGGCAGCCAGAGCGGAGACAAAGACACAGAATAGTGAGTTGTTAAGCCCTAAGAGGAGAGCAAACCACCCCACCTTATATGAATAATTTTCAACCTTGAGGATTTAATGATTAAGTCCAAAGAATAATTAGTGAATGCTTAACTGGAATTTTCAGAAAAATTTGCTTGCGCTTTTATCTGCTG